AGAGCTAATTTCCATTAGTTTGAATGAAACAGAGCAGAGATTAACCTTCAATATAATTAATTCTATGATAATCAATGGCAGTAACATCCGACACATGTGCAATATTTCTTCCATCTTTGAAATTGTTGTTATGTCTTATTGTACTGATAGTTTGACCTTTGAGTTGTATTTTGTTCCATCTTAGCTGAAAAGCATTGATAGTTCCTTCAGAGTTTGAAATACTTGCTTGCAGGTACATTCTGCTGCTGTATTGCTGGACAAGAATAACTTGGTCAAGTATGACAGAAAAAGTGGATATTTCCAGGTGACTGACCTGGGTCGCATTGCGAGTTATTATTATATAACTCATGGGACAATTTCCACATACAATGAGCATTTGAAGCCTACGATGGGTGACATTGAACTTTGCAGACTTTTCTCTCTTAGTGAGGAATTCAAATATGTTACAGTCAGACAAGATGAGAAAATGGAATTGGCGAAGCTTCTAGATCGTGTTCCTATCCCAATAAAAGAGAGTCTTGAGGAACCCAGTGCCAAGATCAATGTACTATTGCAGGCATATATTTCACGGCTGAAGCTTGAAGGGTTGTCCCTGTCATCCGACATGGTTTATATCACTCAGGTTAGTTGTGTTGTATAAATAGACTCCTATAGTTGCTTATTTCTTTAATCATTTGCGATTTGGTGTTATCTGATAGCGAATTATCTTACTTAGTCATTTGCTTTTGCAGAGTGCTGCACGTCTGATGCGAGCCCTTTTTGAGATTGTTCTGAAAAGGGGATGGGCTCAGTTAGCTGAGAAGGCCTTAAAATGGTGCAAAATGATAAGCAAGAGGATGTGGAGTGTACAGACACCACTTCGCCAATTCCATGGCATACCAAATGAAATCTTGATGAAGTTGGAGAAGAAAGATTTGGCTTGGGAGCGTTATTATGATCTTTCATCACAAGAGTTGGGAGAGCTTATCCGGTTCCCAAAGATGGGAAGGACATTACACAAGTTCATTCATCAGTTCCCAAAGCTGAACCTTGCTGCACATGTTCAACCAATTACGCGGTCAGTCTTGAGGGTTGAATTGACTATTACACCGGATTTCCAATGGGAAGACAAGGTTCATGGTTATGTAGAATCTTTCTGGATAATTGTTGAAGATAATGATGGGGAGTATATTCTCCATCATGAATATTTCATGTTGAAGAAGCAGTATATTGATGAGGACCATACTTTGAACTTCACAGTCCCAATATATGAGCCACTGCCCCCACAGTACTTCATTCGGGTTGTCTCCGACAAATGGCTAGGGTCCCTAACTGTTTTGCCCGTCTCTTTCCGACATCTGATTTTGCCAGAGAAATATCCTCCTCCCACTGAATTACTAGACTTGCAACCTCTGCCAGTTACTGCATTGAGGAATCCAGCTTATGAAGCACTTTATCAAGATTTTAAGCATTTCAATCCGGTTCAGACTCAGGTTTTCACAGTGCTGTACAATTCAGATGACAATGTCTTGGTTGCAGCTCCAACTGGTAGTGGGAAGACTATTTGTGCTGAATTTGCCATATTAAGGAATCATCAGAAAGGACCTGATAGTACCATTCGTGCTGTGTATATAGCTCCACTGGAGGCTCTCGCTAAGGAGCGGTTCAATGATTGGAAAACGAAATTTGGGGACCATCTGGGAATGAGGGTTGTTGAATTAACTGGGGAGACCGCCAGTGATCTGAAGCTGTTGGAGAAGGGTCAATTAATTATCAGCACACCTGAGAAATGGGATGCTTTGTCTCGTCGCTGGAAACAACGTAAGCATGTTCAGCAAGTCAGTCTTTTCATTATTGATGAATTGCACCTAATTGGGGGTCAAGGTGGCCCAATCCTGGAGGTGATAGTCTCTCGGATGAGATATATCTCAAGCCAGGTTGAGAACAAGATCCGCATCGTTGCTTTGTCTACTTCCTTAGCTAATGCCAAGGATTTGGGAGAATGGATTGGGGCTACATCTCATGGGCTCTTCAACTTTCCTCCTGGTGTAAGGCCTGTGCCACTTGAAATACACATTCAAGGTGTTGATATTGCTAACTTTGAAGCTAGGATGCAAGCCATGACAAAACCCACATATACTGCAATAGTCCAACATGCAAGGAAGGGAAAACCTGCACTTGTGTATGTTCCCACTAGGAAGCATGCTCGCTTGACTGCTGTAGATCTGATGACTTATTCAAGCATGGACAGTGAAGACACACCCATATTTCTGCTACGATCTGCAGAAGAGCTGGAACCTTTCGTGGAAAGGATCAATGAACCTATGCTGCAAGAGACACTCAAGTATGGTGTGGGATACTTGCATGAGGGGTTGAGTGCCACTGATCAGGATATAGTGAAGACATTGTTTGAAACTGGATGGATTCAAGTGTGTGTGATGAATGGCACAATGTGTTGGGGAGTACCATTATCTGCACATTTGGTGGTGGTCATGGGGACACAGTATTATGATGGTAGAGAAAATGCACACACTGATTATCCCGTTACTGATTTGTTGCAGATGATGGGCCATGCCAGTCGACCTCTTGTAGATAGCTCAGGGAAGTGTGTTATCCTCTGCCATGCACCACGCAAGGATTACTACAAGAAGTTCTTGTATGAAGCATTCCCAGTTGAAAGCCATCTGCAACATTATCTCCATGATAATTTGAATGCTGAGGTGGTGGTTGGCGTTATTCAGAACAAGCAGGATGCTGTTGATTACCTAACATGGACCTTCATGTATAGGAGGCTGACACAGAATCCAAATTACTACAATCTGCAGGGTGTTAGTCATAGGCATCTGTCTGACCAACTGTCGGAGCTAGTGGAGAATACCATCAGTGACTTGGAGGCTAGTAAATGTGTCACTGTTGAGGATGAATTTTTGCTTTCACCTTTGAATCTCGGTATGATAGCGTCATATTATTATATCAGTTACACCACAATAGAGCGATTTAGCTCTTCTGTGACCTCCAAGACAAAGTTGAAGGGCTTGCTGGAAATATTGGCGTCAGCGTCGGAGTTTGAACAGCTTCCAATACGACCAGGTGAAGAGGAATTGATAAGAAGGTTGATTAATCATCTGCGTTTCTCTTTTGAGAACCCGAAATACACAGATCCTCATGTCAAGGCTAATGCTCTTTTACAAGCCCATTTCTCTAGGCAAATGGTGGGCGGAAATCTTGCTTCTGACCAGCAAGAGGTGTTGCTTTCCGCTACTAGGCTGCTTCAAGCAATGGTTGATGTTATTTCCAGTAATGGTTGGCTTAGTCTAGCACTTCTAACAATGGAGGTGAGCCAGATGGTGACACAGGGAATGTGGGAACGTGACTCGATGCTTCTCCAGCTTCCACACTTCACAAAAGAATTGGCTAAGAAGTGCCAAGAAAATCCAGGGAGGAGCATAGAGACAGTGTTTGATTTGGTGGAGATGGAAGATAATGAGAGGCGTGAGCTCTTGCAGATGTCAGACTTGCAGCTTCTGGATATTGCCCGGTTCTGTAACCGGTTTCCAAACATTGATTTGACGTATCATGTGGTGGACAGTGATAACGTGAGTGCTGGAGACGATGTAAGTGTGCAGGTAACCCTTGAGCGAGATCTTGAGGGTAGAACAGAAGTTGGACCTGTTTTTGCACCTAGATATCCCAAAACCAAAGAGGAAGGATGGTGGCTTGTTGTCGGGGATACAAAGAGCAACCAATTACTGGCCATTAAGAGAGTCACTCTCCAAAGGAAATCTAAGGTCAAGCTGGATTTTGCTGCCCCTGCTGAAGCTGGAATGAGGAACTACACACTCTATTTCATGTGCGATTCTTATCTGGGTTGTGACCAGGAATACAACTTTACTCTTGATGTTAAAGAGGCAATGGCTGAAGATGACAGTTGAAGAGAATGATGTAGGTTATTTCTTTTTCTGAGAACTTTTCCCAAGTGCTTTATCTATTTTTGTAGACAATCTAGTGGTGATTAGTTATGCAGCTTTCAGTTGGTACTGGATCCTTCAGTTTTAATGCTGCACCTGCTTTATAGCTTTTAGGAGGACTTGTTCAGTATGAATTCAAAATGGAAGTACTTGCTAAACTTTTGACGTTTGAAACTGAACATGTCTTGTTATATTTTCCTTTGGTTTTTCTTGAATGGAGCAGTAGGTATCTTAATCAATTAGATAGTACTAAATCAAAGTTACCCAAATATAGCACAAAAGAGGAAGCTGCGCAAATAACATTACCAAAAATTAAATTTTAGAATCAAATATTCAATTAAACTATTTGTTCTGATTTGCATAGTTGATCAAGCCAGAGACCCAAGCCAAGGTCAAAGCATAATCAAAAGTTATTAGCAATATCCAAGTGCTAACCCTACACTCATTTGGTTAAAACCAATTTGGCCAGCCAAAGAGGCTAAACACACAAGGATGTATAACTCATATGCATTGCTAAACAGATCTCTAAATGACATGCTAAATCATATGCTAAATTCAGCATATGCTAATAAGACCTAATGAAGTTCTCTTCTAAGAAAAAATGAAGGTTCAAGCTGGAGGATCATGTCATGAAATTACTTCAAAATAGCCAAAATCGACCAACAATCAAACTAGAAGATTACTGGTGTTGAACACAGCACGGATAAGAGCGAAACCAAGAGATCATACTTGGTAGTTCAAATTCGCAGTCTTAGGATCTGTTCTCAATTTTAAGATGGTGAAATGTAAGAGTTTTCGGTTGAAACTAAAACCGATCAAAGTGTTGGGCTATGGCCCTTGTTCCGGCCAAAGAGCCCATGACCTAATCCTATTTGGAAAAGGTTTGGAATGATTAGCCTTATTTAGAAAAAGGTTTTTTTTTGAAGCTGAAATTCTATTTGGAGTTGGCTTTGTAAGAAGGAAAAGAACACAAACTCCATAAATAGAATGGCTTGAGAAAATTATTGAATTGCTCATTAGTATTGTTTTTCTTGAGAGAGCTTCAACAGCCTGATGGATTCTTTGAATTTCGGTACGATAGCGTCATATTATAATATCAGTCAGACCACAATAGAGCGTTTTAGCTCTTCTGTGACCTCCCAAACAAATTTAAATGGCTTGCTGGAAATATTGGCGTCCGCATCAGAGTTTGATCACCTGCCAATACGACCAGGTGAAGAAGAATCGATAAAAAGGTTGATTCATCATCTGCCATTCTCTATTGAGAATCCGAACTACACAGATCCTCATCTAAAAGCTAATGCTCTTTTACAAGCCCATCTGTGTAGGCGAATGGTGGTTGGAAATCTTGTATTTGACCAGCGAGAGGTGATTCTTTCTGCTACTAGGTTGGTTCAAGCAATGGTTGATGTTATTTCCAGTAACGGTTGGCTTAGTCTAACACTTGTAACGATGGAGGTATGCCAGATGGTGACACAGGGGTTATTGCATCGTAACTCGATGCTCCTCCAGCTTCCTTACTTTACAGAGGAATTGGTTAACAAGTGCCAAAAAAATCGTATAGAGACGGTGTTTGATTTAGCGGAGATGGAAGATGATGACAAGTGTAAGTTATTGCATATGTCGGATGTGCAGGTTCGGCATATTGCCCGTTGCTGTAACCAGTTTCCAATCATTCAATTGAAGTATAATGTGGTGGAAAATCATAATGTGAGTGTGCAGGTAACCCTTTTGCGAGATACAGAAGTTGGACCTGTTATTGCACCTCGATATCCCGGAACGAAAGAGGAGGAAGGATGGTGGCTTGTTATTGGGGATACAATGAGCAACCAATTACTGGCCATTAAGAGAGTTACACTCCAAAGGAAATCTAAAGTGAAGCTGGATTTTGCTGCCCCTGCTGAAGCTGGAACAAGGAACTACACACTCTATTTCATGTGCGATTCTTACAAGGGTTGTGACCAGGAATACAAATTTACTCTTTGATGTTATGGAATGATGTAGCTTTTTTCTGACCTCAGTTTCAATTCTGCAATTGCTTTTATATACTTTCAATTCAACTTGGATATGAGTTCACCTTGTTGGTATATTTTCTAAAATTACGCACTCAATTTCATGTCTTGGTTATGAAATTCACGATTAAATCAAATACTATTATAAAATAATATATTATGGATGTCCACTACAAAGTTACTATATAACATTCTCCATTATAAAGATAAACATAATCTCTCTAACCTTTAATTTTATAACCATTATACTTGTAACTTTCACTTTCATAACCTCTCCATTATATTCATGTTAATGACTAACCTTTTGTATACCTCTATGTTACACTATAAATAGATAAATAGAGGCATAAAAATTCATATTGCATACACTTGAAGAAGATTTGATGAATACTTGAAAGAAAGAAAAAGATCTTATATATTGTTCTTGCCTTCTTCTTAATATTGTTTTTTTTGTTCTTTAGTTTTACAACAAATATCTATATAAAAAAATTTAGTTTCGATGAAAGATGTACACGACATATGGTCAATTGTTTTCAAACATTTTTGAGATATAATTTTAAAATAAATTAATAATAAAAATCTAAAGGTTAAACCCTTAAGTAGAAATTTTAGGTCTGTATTTTTATAATAATGCGTTCATCTTTGTTTAGGCTCTTGACCTATAGTTAATTTATAAGTTAAGATGAGAATTCTTTTTCTTTTTTTTTTGGTTAAGATGAGAATTTCATTAATTAAATTAGGGCTTAATGATAAAAAAGATAAAAAGAAAAAAATTTTCATGTGCGTAAGCATCACGCTTTCTTCCCAAAACTCTTATATAAACCTTTCTTCCCTGTTGAAGCGTCTCACTATCTTTTCTCTTTCTACAAAGAAAAACCCCTCTGTTAAGAAACACAGCATCCGTACGGTTACAATGTCTAGCGCCGAGCCTGAACGCGAGCACAGAGAAGAGGAAGAAGCCGCCGGAGCCGAAGACGAAGATACCGGAGCTCAGGTTGCGCCGATTGTCAGGCTCGAGGAAGTTGCCGTAACTACTGGCGAAGAGAACGAAGATGCTATCCTCGATTTGTAATTGATTTCTCTGATAATCTTGTTTGTTTTTTTCGATCTGCTTCGATTTCTAGGAATGATGAATAACTTTAATACTTGTGGATTTGTCGTAACAGGAAAGCGAAGCTTTATCGATTTGACAAAGAGGGAAATCAGTGGAAAGAGAGAGGTGCTGGTACTGTTAAGCTTTTGAAGCATAAGGAAACTGGAAAAGTTCGTCTTCTTATGCGTCAATCTAAGACTCTTAAGATCTGTGCCAATCATCTAGGTTTGTTTATAGTTCGATTTTGACTTTTACTTGCATGATTGAAGTTTATTTTATTCAATTATGTGTTTCATTTGATTCGGGATCTGAGAGTTGGACTCTGATTCGGTGCAATGCAGTTATTCCGACGATGACAGTTCAGGAACATGCTGGAAACGAGAAGTCCTGTGTGTGGCATGCCGCAGATTTTGCTGATGGTGAATTGAAGGATGAATTTTTCTGTATTAGATTTGCATCGTTAGAGAGTAAGAATTTCTGAATCTGCTGGTTCGGTTAATTTTTACTAGATTCTAGGGTCTAGTTTGTTAGATGAAAGCTTTCAATTAGCTAAAATCTGCAATTTCCTTTTGTTGTGATTGCCTTTGCCCCATAATTGCTAGTCATTATAATGGCTCCTTTCCTACCTATGATTATAACATTAGATTTTTTGTTTGGAGAACATTTCATTCTCTACTGAATGCTGTAATGGGCGCACGTATCGTAGTTGTAGATTTCTGAAGTATTCAGATGATCAGATCAATAGAGTATAGAAGCTCACCAGTTAATTACACTTCTGTTGTGTGCATATGATTTATTTCGTTTTGATTGTTTATAAACTATTAGTCTAGTTGAAACTACCATTTACTCCACTCTGGAAGATTGAATGTAGTGACAATCATAAGATTAGATCTTCAGGTCTGAGGTGTAAAATTCTGCAATTCATCTACTTGAGCGTAATTGGGATGCAAAGGTGTTCCAGTAGTTTTGGCTTATGAGGCTATGATTGTTTGGATTGGGTGATGGCTCAGGATTATAGATGTACAACTTTTACTGCTCAACATTGTGCGCCATGAATAGAGATCATCTCACCTGTGACTTAGGTTGTCACCAGTCTGATCTCTTCCATGCCTTAGGCCCTCCAATACACTAGATCCACGACTTTGCTGATGGGAGAAAAGCAAACCAGACCTTAAACTGATAGGTGACTTCTCTCTGCAAGGAAATAACATGTATATTATAATTGTTTAGTGGCAACATACATATTATCTTATACCTTTTTAATTATTTGGTTGTGTTTTTATTCTCATTATATTGAATTGGTAATAATATCATACGATTAGTACTAATATTGTACCTTACTAAGATTTAGGCCAGGTTGGGATTAGCTGAGAGAGAGAGTGATGGGACAACTGTATGTAAGGTACCCATATTTCTGCCTTCTGCTGTAGTTCAGAAATTCCCAAATTCCAGAAATAATGTTATTCCAGGCCTCACAGGTTTTGAATCTAAAACATTAGACTGCAAACCAGATGTACCGCTAGAAGGCAAAACCACAACCTTAGTCCACAGGAACCCATTAAAAATGCCCCCATTTATGGTTCTCCAAATCGGGAACTGCCAATGACCTAAGTGATTGATATTTTATTAATAAGTTGTTGAGAACCTTTTGGTCATATCCTCTTGATTGAGGTCCGTGTAGTGTTGAGAGTGAACTGATCTTGGACTTCTCTCCAGAATCTTAGGTACTGGTAAAAGGAATCATGGTTAATACTGCATGCTTGGTTACCTACTTGAGAGTGATTGCTCTTTAGGGACTTTGAGGACTAGTGCATTAAAAATTATCAGCTAGCACTATTGGATTATAAGGCGTGGAATTAAACCTGGCCGGGTATGAAAGCCGGAAGGTGATCTTTCAATTACCAGGTCATTTAGGACTCCTGAACTGTCTTCATTGCAATTTTCACTCAGCATGTTGGAGTTAGTTACGCTTTCAAGGGATTAGAAAATATCCCATGATTGGGGATAAGTCAAACACTGGATGAGAGTTGAGAGGGCCCCTGGAAGTGATTCTGAGGATGTTGTAGATTAATAGTATGTATGATCACGTCCCCGATTCTTTTATGTTGCTGCCCGTGTTTATTTTTTTTTTCTCCTCAGCAAAAATGATGCCTTAGTGTAATGTTTTTTTTCTTAGATTGCAAGACCTTCATGGAGACTGTCCAAGAGGTTGCTGAATCACAAACGAAGAAAGAGGAAAATGTGGATGCATCTAATGCTGCTGGCCTACTTGAGAAGTTGAGTGTCGAAGATAAGAAACCACAAGAGAAGAGCGAGGAAAAAACTGAAGAGAAGCCTACTGATAATGCAGAGAAAAAGGAAGAGACTGCTTCAGCCTGAGAGATGTATGTCATGTACACCAAATGTAGTTGGTGAGGTTTGTAGCACCTCCATTTTTGCCAACCAAATTTGGGTGTAGTCTGGTCAAGTGCAAGGGGTGTTTACTTCTTGGTGTTGCTTTGGGGCGGGGTCGTCTGGGGGGGGGGGGAGGTTGTTATTTGTTTGTCCATCTCTGAGGTGTTTCAACATCTTGGGGAAACTCAGGTTGAGGTCGGGTCTTGTTCTTTGATTGAAGTATTGTGTTGGTCTATTGTAAGTCTTGGTATTATATACCCAACTGTACGTTGTTTACGTAAGGCCTCTTTTTGAGGCTGTTCTTTCTTCGTGTCCTTGGTTCCATATAATTCAATTCATTACTTATTTGGGGAAATTAAGCCACTGCTAGGCTGATGCATTCTATGTTTGTGTATCTATGAATGTGACTTCTTTTTTAAAATTTAAAAAATGGCATGATAAGAGAAACATGCTCTCTTTTGGTCTCATCAGTTTAGTCTTGTGAAGGAAATCACTCTATTCGTAATGATATATAGACACAAGTTGCTGCTCTTAGTACCGTAGTGTGATCAGACTGCTGTATTTTGGAACTTTGATTTGAAGGGGGTTCTTTAGATATTTTGGAACTTTGATTTGAAGAGTGGATGTGTCTCAAACTGCTTAGGTTCACTAGGTCACAAGCTACTGAGCTCGTATGTGGAATCCTCAATGAAACAAGTTGTGAGTGTTTTCTTTGTTGTTGCTTAGTTTATGTAGTCATTCATAGTGAGATAATGGAACTTCCTCTTTTGATTTATGCGAAGAGAAAACAAGATGTTTGTAGTAATTACTGAATATATAACTTTTCTGCGTAGCTATTTTTTTAGTGATAGACAATGTTAATGAGCTGCATATAGTTATTGGTTTTATTCAATTTATCTTGTTGATGATTTCATACGCCTTTAAGAATATCAGTATTTAAACCACTCCTGGTTCGTTAAGAAAGCTAAATTAACATTTTATATAACTCCTATTTCCTAGGCTCGAGTTCTACGTATCTTGTAGTTAGGTCATAAGTCATAACAGTAAAATAACCTTCACCGATGTCTTATTTTTACCGTTATGACCTAACTATAAGATTCTAATATGATTATAAATTTGAGGTTAAACCTCTTCCTCTTACGTTATTTACCCACTTAAATATTAGAATAAAATGATACTTAAAAATAAAATTGTACAATTATATGATAATACCGATCATTAAGCCATAACATTCGTCCTATATTGGGTACCTTGAAATACTTGAAGCAAAAAAAAGACTGACCACATCTCCAAGAAACCACTATCTTGTACTTCACTCAATTTTCCCCATCTTTTCGAATCTTAACTAATTGTCTTCTTTTATTTTTACACACACACATAAATATTTTTTTTCTTCATTTTCCCTGTAACAATTTTCTCAATACTAAAGTATGGACAATGCAAATGGCACTTCTTGTATCCAAAACTCACATTCTTCTTCCGTTATCGCGAGCCCTGACGCAAACTTAGGGCGCCATTTAGCCCGAAGGTTAGTTGAAATTGGCGTTGAGGATGTTTTCTCAGTGCCAGGTGATTTCAACCTCACACTTCTTGATCACCTCATTGCTGAGCCAAGGCTTAAGAATGTTGGTTGTTGCAATGAGCTTAATGCTGGATATGCTGCTGATGGGTACGCAAGATCTCGAGGCGTTGGTGCGTGTGTTGTCACGTTCACTGTGGGTGGGCTTAGTGTGATCAATGCTATTGCTGGTGCTTATAGTGAGAATCTTCCTATTATCTGCATTGTTGGAGGTCCTAATACTAATGACTATGGAACTAATAGAATACTTCACCATACTATCGGATTACCTGATTTCAGCCAAGAACTAAGATGTTTTCAGACTGTTACATGTTATCAGGTAAGTCAAGTTCTAGTTTTGGATTCAGAATTTGAAGTCATACATGTTACTATATACTATGTTAAGATTGATAAGTAAAAATGATTTTTTTTTTTAATACTAGTCAAGTAAAAGCAAACGGAAGGAGTAGTACATTTTTTAGATGAAGTTGAATATTTTATATCCAAATTCACACTGAAATGAAGTGCTTTGACCCATATTCTCCGAATTATGTCAAACACGAAATAGAAGTTGATGCTTATATCCAAGGAGAAATTCTTCTCCTATTTCTTTCCCCCATTAATACAATGTAAAAAATTCCCTACATATCCAACTTATTGTATGTTTGGTTGTGTTAGGCTGTGATAAATAACTTGGAGGATGCACATGAACAAATTGATAGAGCAATCTCTACTGCTCTAATTGAAAGAAAGCCAGTATATATTAGTGTCAGTTGCAATTTGCCAGCCACCCCTCATCCAACATTCAGCAGAGATCCCATCCCATTTTTTCTATCACCAAGGTATGTGTTACCTTGTCATCTATTCTTGAAGACTTTGCATAACAGTGGAGGATATAGACTAGCAATAGCTAGTTGACATATCCATCACATGTATAAAAAGCATAATTCACATTGACTTTAGAACTTACTAACAATGGCGGATCAAGACTAGACGCACTGAGTTTGACTATATATGTGTATGAGAAAAGACATCGGCACATATATAAAGAGCAGAATACGCTGACTCTAAGTCTTGGATTTGTCGTTGTTGTATGCGAGATGTTCTTTCAATTTACCATTATAACTAACTAATAATGGTAGAGCCAGGATTTTTACTAAGAGGTTCAAAAACACACGAAGAGGTAAAAATAATATGACGGTAATCTTCCCATCGAAGGAGGTCCAAATGAACCCCTCAACCCTACCTGGCTCCGCCCCCGATGAAGTATCAAGACCGGGTGCAGTGGGTTCGCATATATATGCGTGTGTGAAAAGAAATTAGCACATAAATAAAGAGAACTTGCTAACTTTAAATCTTGAATTTGCCACTGTTGTATGTGAAACGTTCATCCAACTTACAATAAGAACTTATTGATACAGGCTAAGTAGCAAGAAGGGGTTGGAAGCTGCAGTGGATGCAGCTGTGGCCTTTCTAAGCAAGGCAGTAAAACCAGTGATGATTGGAGGGCCAAAGCTAAGAGTAGCTAAAGCTTGTGATGCTTTTGCTGAACTTGCTGATTCTTCTGGTTATGCCATGGCAATGATGCCATCAGCAAAAGGGCTAGTACCAGAAAAACACCCTCACTTCATTGGCACTTACTGGGGTGCAGTAGGCACATCCTATTGCGCGGAAATTGTTGAATCAGCTGATGCTTACTTGTTTGCTGGTCCAGTTTTTAATGATTACAGCTCTGTTGGTTACTCACTTTTGATCAAGAGAGAAAAGGCGTTAATCGTGCAGCCTGATAGAGTTGTTATTGGAAATGGACCAGCATTTGGTTGTGTCCTAATGAAAGATTTCCTCTCTGAACTAGCAAAGAAAGTAAAGAAAAACGAAACTGCTTATGATAACTACCGTCGGATCTTTGTTCCTGAAGGAACTCCTCCAAAACCAGAGCCTAACGAACCTCTACGAGTCAATGTTCTGTTCCAACATGTGCAGAAGATGCTTTCAGCTGATACAGCTGTGATTGCTGAGACAGGGGATTCATGGTTCAATTGCCAGAAGCTTAAGTTACCAGAAGGATGTGGGTATGTGACTAATAAAAGCTTAACAGCCTGGTATCCATTTTATTTTGAGTCATTAGACGGAAAAAGTTCGTGTTGCAGGTATCAATTCCAGATGCAATATGGCTCCATTGGTTGGTCTGTTGGTGCTACCCTGGGTTATGCACAATCTGAACCCAAAAAACGTGTCGTATCTTTCATCGGTGATGGAAGTTTTCAGGTAAGAAAATGACTTCCGTCATACCAGACACTATTTATTCGTGTGGAGAACTAAATTTCGTATACCAGGTTACTGCACAAGACGTGTCGACAATGATTCGTTGTGACCAAAAGACTATCATTTTCTTGATTAATAATGGTGGTTACACCATTGAGGTTGAAATCCATGATGGGCCATATAATGTCATCAAGAACTGGAACTACACTGGTTTGGTAGATGCAATTCACAATGGTGAAGGCAATTGCTGGACCCAAAAGGTAAGTGTTACTCACTCAACATAGAAATGTTCATCAATACTTCGAAAAAACATCGTTTTCAAATTGTTTTATAACTTGGATTGTAGGTAAGGACGGAAGAGGAGCTGATAGAAGCAATCGCAACTGCAACTGGAGAGAAGAAAGATTGTTTATGTTTCATTGAAGTTATTGTTCACAAGGATGATACTAGCAAAGAGTTGCTTGAATGGGGATCTAGAGTCTGTTCTGCCAATGGACGTCCACCAAACCCTCAATGAGTCTGCTAGATTAGTTTTTTTCTTCCAGCACTAATTTCTACTTTTTCAATAACACCAGAGCCATATTAGAATTCTTTTGTTTATACTCACTGATCAGAATTAATTACTCCCTCCGTCCCATTTTATGTGGCACCATTTTGTTTTTGATCAGTCCCGAAAAGAATGTCAGATTTCCTCATATAGAAAGTATTTAAAGATGTAATTTCTCTTTTACCCTTATTGATCCCACTTAATTTTCTAATACATCTATGAGAAAAGGGAAATATGAATTACTTTTTTTGAAGGGCAATTTGGTACTCAGTGTAAAATGGGACGGAAGGAGTACCATTTAATAAAATGGATTTTTGGACTAACCCAGCTCCATCTATGGGGTCATTTGGTTGGAAAGTAATTATCTAAGGATTATTAACTTATCTCCAGAAATAAGTTTATATAAATTTCATCCCCAATCTTGTGCATTGAACTTCTTAGAGGTTCAATGTTAGGAATCGACTTATATAATAACTCCTGCCTAAACTATTCACTAGTTTTTCAATGATAAATGAAGGCAAAAATTTAACATTTCAAACTGTTAAACCTCTATAGATAACTAGCAGACTGCCATATCAGAGAAGATTCATTGCTCAAAAAATGAATTGGATAAATTAAGTATGACCAAGAACAATGCATTATTTTTCAAGATTAACAGTATGTCTCGTCTTCAACTTCACTAAAAGCTAAACACAGTTTTCAGTATGCAGCAAAAAACTGTTAATCCCTTAAGACAAACAGTCGTAGTCCCAAAGTCAGATTTTCACAACACTATTAACAGGCCAAAACGCAAACGGATCGAGATGAATAAGTAATTAAGGAGTAAATATCATAAACGTGAGCCAAAAATGGCTCCCACAGTTTCAATACACCTCGGAAAAAGAAATACATTAGGTTTATGTGCCATTAGCACAATGTAACTACTGAAATTTAACTGCAAACACTGAAAATAAGACAAAAACACAATAACCTAGAGCGACGGAGATATGTCAAAAGCTAAGAACTGCCCAGTACAATTCTACTTGGATCTCTGCCTCATCTTTCGGCGCTTCCTCTTCAATCTCCTCATACGCTTCTTCTTCCACTGAAATGAAAAAAAATGCAACACATGTTAATGGCAAAAAAAGAGTAGCATATGTACAGCTTCGACAGTGGAGTATGATTCACAATTTGGCAGTAATAGGAGTGCTATCCTGCATCGATATGATTCACAAATCGGTAGTAATGGAAGTGATATTCTACATCGATCGACTTGAAATTCTAGATCCGTCTGTATAAACCTGCAATCTACAAAAGGAAAGGAAGAACAAGATGAAGACGTCTACATACCTTGGCTCTCATGGTCAATCAGCTACAACGGAAGGCAATCTATTCACTTCCTGGCCGGAGTGAACTTACCGATGAAGAAGAGAAGCTGCACGATGCGAATGGAAGTGAGGACTGGTGGAATATAAAAGGAAACCCTAGAGTGGATATGACTAATGGGCTTTGAGGCAAATCATCCGAGAAATGGGCCCAGCCTCTGTAGGATTTGCACCAAGTAACCATAGTATATGCCTTATGTTTGATTTTTAAAGTATTTATAATTTAGACAATTCAATTTATGTTTGTATTCCTACACAAATTCATTAATTTTCTTAAAATAAAAAAACATATAGGAGTAGTTGAAATTACATGTGGGAATTTTAAAACCATTTGTATTTCATGATCAAATGCAAGTTTATCTGATCTCATACATGATAACCAAGAAAAGGGATTATTTGATCATTCAAATAAAATTCTTCTACATGAAAATATGAATAGGAGTAATGGAAAAGCCTAATTGCATAATTAATTAAATTTATTAGCTATAAGTGTAATCGACATTTTAATAAAGAAATCGTCAAATCTACTTTCTACTAGTCACCAACCTAATTTTCATGCCTTATTGAAATATTATTGTTTATTCAAAATTTTAGTATATAATATTAACAAAATTTTACGCAAAAATTTTAATTCCGTCAACCATGTTCTGAAAAATAAATAAATAATAATATTTTCATGTATAATGATTAATCATAAATTTCTTTTGACCATTTGAAGTGCATCAAACTGGAGTTGCAAATGATCAAATATACAACTCCACCGATTCATGATAAATATATATTGATTAATCGTCACTCGAGATATGATCCAAACCCTATATAGAATTCAACTTTCATTTGCTATTATTGTAGTATTATTAACCTAAAAATTAAATATTTTTTCCCCAAATTCCATTCTTATCAAAACAGGAAAAATTTAACCAACCATTTTAATATTTTGTTCTTTTTCTCAGTTTTCCACATCTTGCGATCTCCGTCTCTCTTTAAACCTATCTTCCTATCCACAACTGACGACTACTTTTATTACGTAATTTTATTATTATTATATTCAGTTAACATAAGCCTACCGAAAAACTCTTTATTTTTTTTCCTGTAGAGAAATTGTAGCTTCAGAAGCAAAATGGGTACTGGTTCATCGAAGAACACAGACAGTAGCTCACATGGCAGCGAAGATAGAGAAGATCATGGAGGAGGACAGCTTTACGTTTCTCTCAAAATGGAGAATTATAAGCTTAAAGGAGAACTTATTCCTCATGTTTTTGGCTCCGTTCCATTGATTGGCTCATGGGATTCGTCTAAGGCTGTAATTTCATCACTCTCACCTTTTTTCAGTTTTTCCTTTTGATTTTTGTGATTAATAACTAATGCAGTTTTGTTTTCCATTATCAGCTTCCCATGGAACGGGAATCAACTTCTATGTGGGAGCTGAGTTTCGTTGTTCCTCCTAATCACGGTTAGTTGACTATTGTGATTTTGTTAAATTTGTGTCTAATTCATGGAATGAAAATCTATGGTAATAATTTCATTTGCGGATTTGTGGAATAGAGTTATAGGCGGATTACTGGATTAGTATAGTTGACCCGAACTAACTAGGGGTTGGGACGTAGTTGATTGATTGATTTTTATTTGTATAGAGACATTGGACTTTAAGTTCCTTTTGAAGCCAAAGTACAATCATGAACCTTATATAGTGGAGGAAGGTCCAAACCGTGTACTTATTGCTGGAACGTTACAAGGGGATGGGCGTTCAGCCTCGTTTATGCTGGAAAAGGAAGATATTATTGAATATAGAGTATTCGTTAAAGCAGACAGGGTTTCACCATTTGACCTTGCGGCTAGTTGGAGAGCCTTTCAGGAAAATCGCAGGCTTTCTACTGTTCGAGGAGTACCAGATGTTAGCATAAATTCGACACCAGCAATGGGTGCAGAGGTAAGATGTTGCTATTGTTTGACTGCTAATTGTAAATGCTGCTTTGAAATTTATGGTGCCAGATGCCTGTGATTACTGTCTTACTATCTTGTTAGATGATCTCTCCATGTGAATGAGTGTTTGTTTAACATGCTGGAGCTCAGAAGCCTTGTGCTCAGATTTGGTGCAAATGTGATAAACTATACTATTACAGGCTATTGAATCAACAGATATCATACATTTAAACTTTAAAGGGAGATAGTTTGCTCTTCTTTAGGAGTAAAATGAGGTTGCAGATTTTGATATTGAAGGTGTTTTAATTTGAATAAGGATGTTTAGCCTATGCTTTTTGATGGTATATGTGTCATTTTGAGGAAACTATTGACTTTCATGTTTCTTATCAGTGCTCCTAGTTTTTCTGCTTCTGTCTATTGGTCAAATTATTCTTGTTTTTAGCTTCTTCAGATGTCTGGATGAATATTGCTTACCAAGGTTGTTTCTATAGATTTTGGCAGTTGGATATGTTTTTCATACATGTCTTAATTATATTAATTATATTTTAAACATTTTTTCTCGACAGCATGGCTCTTCAGCAAGTCTAGAGCTTGATCTTGAACATTATGTTGTCCCCGCTCCAGCAACATCTGCACCGGTTTATGCTGCTAACTTGACAGAAACTCCTAGGTCTCTAACACGTAAAGGGGTATTTTCTGGGACAGATGGCACTATCATTCCAAGGCCTTCCTCAAAAGATGGTCACACTTCAAATGATCGGTCTGCTTCAATAAAGGTTCTCGTGGTGCCTTTTGACTTGAGGTCTAGTTTTACTATAGGACTTGAGATTTTGTCCATCTTTATTCCATTCTTATCAAAACAAATTAAACCCCCAAAATGCGCTTGAGATTCAGAGTTTTACTAATTCTCTGACTATTTTTTTTGGGATAAATGTTTCACTGTAATGCATTCCCATAATTTAAGAGAAATAGGCATTAGCATTTTTGTAATACATGAGAATGATCATCGTTTTACTCAGTAGAATGAAATAGCTATTCAACTCTGGTACTTATATGGGTAAACACAAATCTTTTTCATCCTCCAGCTAAAAATCTTGTATAGTAAGCATCTTTGACACTCATATAACCAATCATAGAGGCTATTTAAATTTTTATCTGCTATTATGCACATTCGCTCGAAACATGCATGTTATGTGACTAGTGTTCTCCCTACTTGATTTACCAACCTTATGCTTTTATTCATTCTACATGTATTACCATTTTCTTTCAAATTGTACCTTATTGTTTAAGAGTCACAGTTGATTCACATTATGCCGTCTTTTTATCATCCAGCAGATGGAAGTAATTGTTCCGGATCCAACTAGAGTCCCCTCAGGATCTGGTACGGTTGAATCCAAGTCCATGGGTGCGTTCTCGTCTTTGCAAAAGCAAGATAGTTACAGGGGAATCCTTGTAGATAGGGGTGTGGGATCTCCAAGACTAGCCAAATCACCCAGTACAACCACTTTTACACTTGATCTCAAGCCTGATTCAGATGCCAAGGTGTGTAGAAATCTAATGTTTCCGTAGTGATGAATATTGTAATAAAATATTTGTTGTATCTTGGTTTATGCATCTGATGTATCATTCTTTTAAATTGTTTAGAATGTGATGCCAGCTGCTGCAGGAGCAGTTGCAGCTGGAGCTGTAGCTGATCAGATGCTTGGGCCAAAGGAAGACATGCATCTAGCAATTGTTCTGGTATTTTTTCTTTTTCTGATGAAGAACTGATAAGCACATTAGTTTTGGTGTAAGCTTGTCAACTTTGATGCTGATGCTGTGTTCTCGGATTGGCTTTCCTATGTTCTTGGAATAGTATCTTATGCAACGAATGATCTTAGGATTTGCTTATGCTTCTTGTAGGTTGGCTTGCCAGCTCGTGGAAAAACTTTTACTGCCGCTAAGCTTACTAGGTATCTTCGATGGTTAGGTCATGACACCAAGCACTTCAATGTTGGGAAGGTAAACTGTAGCACTTGTTTCTTTGATGTCTTCCTAAATTTGCAAACGCAAGGAAACTAACCAATATTTTTTCTGTGACAGTACCGCCGACTCAAGCACGGAAGTAATCAGGTAGTTAAAATTCCTGAATTGAACTGTTTTTCTAAATATCTGCAGTCAAATAGAACTGCCCTCTCACGTATTAAAAAACAGAAAAAAAGAACTGTTATCTTTCTTGTATAGGAAACTATGTTAAACTGAGAATTCACTTGCCAAGACATTATTTAAGGTTCATTATCTGGCGGCCTTTTGGTTTAGGTGGTATGATTTTATTTTTCAGATGACATCTAAAACATTTGACACTTTGGGTTGTCCATTTCAGCAAAGTACTACCACTTCTTTCATACTGATATTACAATAAGTAATTCTATCAAAGATCTAAAAGCGGTTTCCTTTGTGTTCTGAAGAGACAAAGTTAATAGTCCTTGGACATCTTTTATATAGAAAGAATACACCATGAAATGGAGAAAATGATTAAAATGACAAAAATGGTCCTTTATCTTTGGGTAGTAGGTTCAAAGTAGTTCCTTAAGTATCAACTGTAACATAAAAAACTACACTACTTATAGGAGCTTCTCCTCCTAGGAGCTGTAAGTTCGTGTTAATTGAAATACTATCTGTGAATCTTCATTTTCTTGTGTATATTGTTGACACAGACTGCTGATTTCTTCCGAGCTGACAATCCAGAAGGCTTGGAGGCTCGCAATGAGGTAAACTCTGTCAGAATAGGTATTGTTTACTGTCTGTTTGCTAGAAGCCTGAAATCATCTTAATTAGATTGAACATGAGGCAGGGTTCAGGCGGGTATACTGAATGCTATGCCTGTAACGACTCACCAAAGTGCTCCTTCCCTCGCCCTTCCCCCTCCCTGCCCCATTTTGTCCTCCATCTTCCTTCATACATAAGATTTTGACACCTGCCTGTTGTAGTGTTGTTATAACTCAGCTAGTACGCATGTTTGGATTGGAGGCTGTGGGGTTCAGCAAGGCTTTACTTCCATCCCAAACTGATAATTACTTCACATTATTTTCTAAACAGTGACATTCTATCGTGAGTTTGTGTATAGTTGTAATTATTACGTACATACATTAGTTAGCAGTGTCGGATGACCTCACCTGAAGCAATGGGGAATTTTAGAGGAAAGAGGCAAGACTAGGAAGGTCAGAGGGTGAGCATTAAGAAGGGCAGCACATTCCTCTGTTGAAATGGAGATGTAGGCTCCACGTAATGCAGTCAGAGGAGGTCTTTGTTTTCCCTTTCCTTGTCTATTTGTCAACATATATTGAAACGGGGGTTAAGTATCAATTTGAGATTGGGAAAGAGAGGGATGGGTGAAGATTGAAAGGTCCAGTCATAACATGTAGCAATAATGACTTTTTCGTGCGGAAATTACACTTCTCCTATTTTCTCTCTATTATTAGTTCTATTTCCCGAAAAGAGCCATTATGAGTGTCAGACTTGTTATTCTGTATCTTGAGAGACTGAGAGATCAATGAAAGAGAGGGGAGGGGTGTCCTCTAGTGTTTGTGATCTGTTTTGGGAGAAATGAGGAAAACAATGAAGGAGAGCCAGGGTCTGTTTTGGAGAGTTAAGGGTGTGAAGCATAAGTTCTGGTGGCTCACTTGAATCAAAACCCCAGATTAATTACCATTACTTGCATAAAAGTTATGGAACACCTATCCCTGACCCCCACAATGCAAGGAAAAAAAATCCCGTCACTGGCCCGTTCCCACATTTATATCTATATTCTCTATTCGATTATGGGCAGGCCCTTCATTGCTCTGCCTTGACATCCCTAATCTTAGTTGCCCTTCCTGGCCTCCCAGAGAAAGAACATATGGATAGGGCTTCTTTCATATCACATGCATGTGAATTTTGCAATTTGTATCAATATTCTCCATTACCAGTTCAGCACCCATTAATTGGACATTTGACCATTCACTTTTAGGAAAAAATGATTAATATTATATCTAGTTTGTAAGAGTGTTGTAGAAAAGAGCAAGTTGCTTTCTCATATTGCTGTAGAAGTTACTTTCTAGGATTTTAGGGTTTTGATATGGATGACCATAGGCCCATTTATTGACAGTATGACTGGTAATTTTTAGAGAAATTTCTATTGTTGTTATTCTTGTAGCCATGGTAGGAGTTTATTATTGCATTGTCCCTAGGGCTAATGGGTATAAAACTTTGAGTTTAGTGCATCATCAATCTCTCATGTAGTTGCATTGGACTTAATTTATTCGTTGAATTGACTTTCTTCTTTTCACATAGTTTTAATACATCACATGCTACTAGGTAGCTGCCCTTGCAATGGAAGACATGATCGCTTGGATGCAAGAGGGTGGTCAGGTAAGCCTTCTGTAATTTTCATGGAACAATACCTGTTACTGAGTTTTTGATAACTATATCCATTACTGAATGCAGGTAGGAATTTTCGATGCTACAAATAGCTCAAGGAAAAGAAGGAATATGCTTATGCAGATGGCTGAGGGAAAATGCAAGGTGAATTCTTATTGATGGACATCTAGTGTTAGTATGTTACTGCTCTTAGTTTCCTTCAATGGAACTGTAATATTTTTTTTCCCAAGGTTTTGGTCTAGTGGTAAGAGTGAGCTCTGTATAGGTTACACACACGTCACAAATAAAAACCTGATATTTAAGCTGAGAAGGATTGAAGGGACGACAGGCAACCTGTTGAATTTCGAACCACGACCCTCGAAGATTTCTCGGTTATCACAAAATAAAAGAATTGTAAGATGTGTTTAATTCTCATCTATGTAAGTGCAATTGCAGGATTTGAGTTAAGTTCTTCAATAGTTAATATTTACAAATAGTGGTTTCATCTAATACTATACCTTATTTTGTTTCCATGCGTTGGGTGTGGGAGTTGAGATAACATCGAAGTCCTTATAGAGATTAAGTCAAGTGCCCCTTATTACTCTTTTTGGAGTGGCGGTTGCATGATACATCATTTGTTGATTGAAAAACTCACAGTGAAGTATTACATATGTATCAAACTTCTAGGCTGTGTTTTTAGTTTCTTAGCACTTCAAAAATTGCAGCATCAACAAAGTCACTCCAACTTGTGTTTCTAGTTTCTTAGCACTTCAAAAATTGCAGCATCACCCGCTTATGTATCTCAGTGCTGTAATGTGTCTTAGTAGTTTCTTTTAACAAATTCGTCCTTTCTTTCTTTTTTAATTCATTCTTTATATTATGTTCTACTGGTTGTAGACAAGCCAAAAGAGAAAGTGTACATTTTATGATGATACTTGTTGGTGGATTTTGTGGATCCATATGCAGAAGCCTAAGTTATTTATCTGCTCTTAGTTCTCATTCTTGAATTTTGTGATGCTTTGCATGCAGATAATTTTCTTGGAAACCCTCTGTAATGATCCTAAACTAATTGAAAGAAACATACGCCTCAAAGTTCAACAAAGTCCAGACTATGCTGAAGAGTATGATAATTTTCTGTTTCTTTTGGTGTTTTATTAGTTAGAAAAGAACTTACATAGTTGGCATTGTTAATTTGTTATACAGGCCAGATTTTGAAGCTGGATACAGGGACTTCAAGAATCGCCTTGATAATTATGAAAAAGTAATATTATTTATCATAGTTATTATGGTTGTTTTTGTCATGTTTATTTATGAATGCTTAACATCATATTATGTAATGTTTGTCATTTTTTTTTCTCCAAGGTTTATGAGCCAGTAGAGGAAGGTTCTTATATTAAAATGATTGATATGGTCAGTGGTCATGGAGGACAAATACAAGTAAGTGACCTTATTTTGATTTGTTACATGTGTTGTTTATTTGAGGACATGTAAGCATTGGTAGCAACTTGCAAATATTGCATTTTATGTCCAAGGAATTAATTCCAAGGTGGACTTTACTTAAACTTCTTGATTTCTTCATGATGATTTTGTGTTATTCCACCGACAGTGAGCCATCTATGAGGCTTGGCTCAAGTGGTAGGCTGTGCCTCTGAAGGGTTTTTAGATCTCGTGTTTCATACTTTTAACAAGGGTTACTTCTTTCCCTCATTGGGCTAACTTTGTGCTTAACGGTTTGACTTTCAATAGCCTTGTATTTCTAACTCTTCCTATAAGTTTGTTCATCACCTCAAAATACCCTATTAGCTCAGTCTTTTGAAGGAATATGAAGTTATATTTCTTCTGACTTCTTTAAGATTTCATCGCATTTAATATCTTTTGGCGGTCTGGAGACGGGTAAACATTTTGACAGTGAAGGACTCTGTATAAAATTGTTTTATATGCTTTTTACAGGCTGACATAAACTTTTCAGTACCAATTTCATTTTCATATGGGTCGAATGTTAGGAGTTGGAGAAAAGATGTAAACTATGGAGCAGACTATGTTTAGATTGGCTTCAGTAAGAATTCGGAAGCTATTGACAGTGGATTGTTCAGTTAATTAAAGAGGAAAGAGAGGCGGGGGAGCAAATCAGAACATGCTACAAGACCTTCTCTTTCTTTCTTAATATGCCTATGCAGCAGTGTTCAAATTTGTCAATCTTTTAGGCTGGCCTTATTTGAGTTACTAGTTGGTAGCATCTCTTGTTAAGTATGAAGTGAGGCTTGTATAAGTTTCTTAATGACTGATCCGCAAAATTGATGGAAGTTTGTGCCACTGTCAAGATTCTTCTAGTTTTATCCTAATTACTCGTGTAAGATCAAGAGATGTGTTAGTGTAATGCCAGAGACATCCATTCACTTGTATAATATATTACTTTGTCATTTTAACTTATCATTTTCCAAGACCTAATACTAAACATCAATTAATAGGGGTAATATGGCAAAATAGTCATCTCAATCATTGTTTTTTTTGTGAGAGTGGCAAGTCCAAATGTGACAAGTAAAAGTGAACAGAGGAGTACTTTCTTCAAAATTTGATAGGCGGCTAGACTTGGCTGCAACCATAGACTAAGTTTCTATGCAATTCAATTCAGATCTCCAAGGGAGGAATGGATCCTACCGATTAGTCTCTTGAAATTATTTATTCAGCTTCAGATTCTTTAATTAATTAGTTATATTTGTGCAGGTAAATAATATTAGTGGCTATCTTCCTGGGAGGATTGTCTTCTTTTTGGTAAGTTACTGCTCATCCTGCTAAGTTGTCTCTTTTCTTTCCAATAGACTACTTTGTCTTTGAGGCATCTCCTGAATTATATTGAATAATGTAGCAAGAAATGAAGGAATTGCTTCTATTTCTCGTAATGCCTGACTCCATAAAATCGATACAAAAGAAAAGCAGAAGCAGCAACCACTGGAATTAACTCAAATCCACAGATGGTTACTGTTAAGCAGTGTTATTAAAAGCAAAAAACGCAAAAAATCCTACGGTTTGTTGGGGCTTTAAGTGCAAAGCTGAAATAAAGTGCGACTGTTAATGAATGAAGATGCAAAGGGAGAAAAAAGTACAAATATATATGTTAAGTCCAAGACTAATAAATTATAAGCATTTATGCCAATATATGAATGAATAAATTGAACTTTTTTTACAATAAAATGAAATTTCAATTATTTAGTGTCGCCTCTTCAGAAGAGACTCATTGGCAAGGGAAAGCATGCCTTAGAACCTTGATGACGATATTGAAGCACACATTAAGCAAGGCAAAGTGCTCAATATGTTTTGAGCCTCCCTTCAGGGCTTAAGTGCACCTTTGATGACACTGCTATATCAAGAATATGAACTTTGGGCCTAAAAGTTATCTCATGAGGTGAAAATTTCTCAAGACCATATAAGGAGACAACAATCCGTTCTCTCAACCAATGTGTAAGTATTAACAGTTACCACCTTGATGTAGTCTTATCTGTTCTTAGGGTTTCAAGGCAAAGAGAGATGGAAAATCAGAGTATGGTAGCAGAGTCATTATTCTTGCTACTGGATGATATCACTACTGGTACACAATGGTAAATGGAAGAAATCCATGCTGTACAGAACATGTCCTCTGTACTGGTGTTCCCTTTATCATTTGAATGTATAACAAAGACCTGGCACATTCTTGTGATGGGGCTTCTCATTTTGCATAAGAGTGATTTTCACATTTGTCATGGGGCTCCACTTATCCCAGAAAAGTAAGGAAAGAAAGAGAACTGATCAAACTCACTAGCATTCATTGCAAGATGGCAATTTGCCTGATCTAGACATTTAATCTTTTGTTTTGCTCCTCTCATTTGCTCTTAAATTTTGTTGGAAGTGCCATCAGATTGATATGATATGCAGGTCAACACACATCTCACACCCCGTCCAATTTTGCTAACAAGGCATGGAGAGAGTTTGTACAATGTTAGAGGCAGAATTGGTGGTGACACTGCGATAAGGTTTCTATCCTCTAAACACCTTGAAGATGATATATATATATATGTGTGTGAACATTTTATAATCCATCTAATACTGTCCAAGAGGACCAAGATAACATTTTTTTGAACATCGACAGAGCTTCAAATTATTTAACTTATAAGGATTAACTTGTATTTAGCTACTTCAGTTGGCTAGATTGTCATGCTGAAAGTGTAGCTTAATAAGTAGTTGGCCTCCTACCTAGTTACTTAAAATTACAAGCTAGGTGCCCTATAATTTAACATGTACTAAACAGATGAAGATCTAGACTTAAGAGACTTATCTCCATTCATCATTACATATTTCTATTTGCTGGGAACAACAAGAAAAGAATATAGATTACATAAAGGGGTATTTTAAAGACAGTTGAATAAATACATCTCTTTTTCTGCAGAACTTGAGTGTCTCCATGTCCAGGAACCATAATATGTTACACCCATGATTTTTAGAATTATGAAAAGCCTTAGAAATCCAGCTGGTATGGGAAGTTAAATCTACACAGAGAGATGTACTTCAAGGACTTTCATGCTGAAAAGCAGTTCATAACTTTCTTTGGATTTATTGCATGTGTCCAGTGAGTTTACCACTACGACTGTGATGGAGGCTTTCTTTCTCCATAAGCAATTGTTTCTTTTTTAGGTGATAGTGATACACAAATTTGTCATAGGGGAAGGGGAGCCTTGAAGCAACGGTGAAGTTGTCTCTGTGTCACCTATAGATCACGGGTTCGATCCGTAAAGCATCCACTAATGCTTGCATTTGTTTCATTAGGGTAGGCTTTTTGCACCGGGCTGCCCTAAAAAAAATTATCACATGGCATGGAGCATTCATGGCTTCTTCAGATTCTTTTGGTGATACAAAAACTTATCATAGGACATGGAACCTTCATGGGTTCTTCAGATTTTACTGGTATTTTGGAATTAGTATTTACTTTTGTAGTTTGAAGTTATAAAATGTTTGCCCTCCAGGGTATAAAAGTTGCTCGGTTGAGATTTTCTTCTGCTATTTGTATGGATTGAATGATATACTTCTGATGAAATATTCACTTAGTTTGTATATGCTGTGATTTGGTTATTGTTAATCAAATAGTGAAGTCTTTACTCTATTCTCTAGATTTATTTGCAGTTTAGGCTAGATTTCAATTTTCTTTTCCTTTTTGACTGACAAATTTCTTTAACAGTGAAACTGGGGAGCTCTATGCAAAGAAGCTTGCCAATTTTGTTGAAAAACGACTGAAAAATGAAAAGGCCGCTTCTGTAAGTTCTACCTGTTGATGCTTCAATTGTATAAAAAAAAATTCCCTTTTTTTTTTCCAACTTCCACTAGTGCTTTTATTGAAATAGATACAAATGGGAACTGACCTACAGCATCTGATTGAGCAATCACTGGGTGAGTTGGGGAGGGCTGGGAGAAAGATTGGGCTTAAAGCAATAGTGGAAAAGCATTCTTTTATTATATAACTGTCAACGTATCAAGAAAATCTAGTTCTTCAATTTTAATGACTAATCTAGTTCTTCATTTTGAAACCTATTCTGAATCACTTTGTGTTCTCTGGCTAAGGAAGAAAGCTTCCTTAATCGTTGATGAAAGCACTTCCTTTTTTAATAGTTGATGAAAGTACTTCATTTTTCCTGATAACTACATCTCAATAAATAAATGAGTTAATAAAAGAAAAAGAACTGAAGTTCCCTGCTTTGGATGGTAAAATCTGTGCCAGGAGCAGGCACCTTTGATCTTTCCTCAAGGCGAGCAAGCATTTCCTATTTACTTTTTGGGCCTGATATTTTCAACTGGAAAATTCGCTCTCTAGAAGAAGCATGACCACAGCTTTCTCTGATATTCGTAACTTCTTACTCATGTTTAGATTAATTAGCAAACTGCAAATGTCAGATGTAATTTTGAAGTAAACGGATCTAAATGTTGTACTTATACATACTATCATTTCTTACACAAACTTGAAGTAGGATTAATGGTTGCTAAAGATCACAAAGCAAAAGTGCATGAACCATTAGCAGCCAACTTTTTCAGATTACACGGGATGCACCACTTCCAAAATTTAAAAAATTAGTATCAGCCCGTAACTAAGCTACTCCTAATTAGTAGGACAGATGTCAAACTTTTATACTGATCTTAAGATTTAAGGAATCCCTATATGGAAAATGTGGTTCCCTAGCAGCTTAATAGACCTGTTTGCATAAAAAGATCCACGGTCTCCTCAAAAAGGAAATAAATAAATTCAGGTACTGTTCACTTTTTGTGGGGGTTGGGAGGAGGTGATATAATTGGATTTGCAGTCTTGCAGCTGATCTTTGGGAATGTGCGATGTGATAATATCTCAAATTTCTTGCTTTTGAAGAATTAAAAGCTTACTTTTTTTAAGAACTTAATGCACATGAAGAAAAAAATCAGCATAATCATGCATATAAAGAGTTTATGGACTCTTAAGAGTTATTAAGCTCAAAAGTTTCTATTTTTCTAATATTTCTCCTTGAAAAGGGCCCTGTTTAAGTACCTTGATGGTTTGTTAGGCTTTCAGTACGTATTGCTGACTCTGCACAGATCATTAATAGTTGAAGTTAGCTGCTAGTGCTAACTCTGCACAACTTATTCTATTTATGCTAGAGAATGTTTTATAAAATGCTCTATTATATATTCTGTGACTTAGATATGGACCAGCACATTGCAAAGAACTATTTTGACAGCTAGTCCAATTGCTGGGTTTCCCAAGGTTAGCTTGTTGAACCATTGTGTATTTGTTTGTTTTAAATCATTTCTTTAACTCTCCTGAAGTATGGTTATTCCTTTTCCCACTCCCTCTTCAGATACAATGGCGAGCCCTTGATGAAATAAATGCTGGTGTTTGTGACGGGATGACTTATGAAGAAATAAAGAAAAATATGCCCGAAGAATACGAGTATGCTATAACTCTTCTTTACCTTTCGCAATGCAAGCTTATCCATTTTTTTGTGACCTAGTAGGATTTTATCCAAGTAGAATTTCTGTGGTGTTTATAGGAACAGTCAGCAAATGAACACATACTGAAGGGAAAATATGCCTCATCAGCTACAGAAAAGTGATACTACTAAGACAGAGAATTGACCAGAGTTTGTTTGGTGTCTAATTAACGAGCTTAATTTGATTAGTTGCCCCAGTGGTATAGTTCTTTCTTTTTTCAGTATCTATCTGTAAGTCAGTTGCCAGATAAAAAATCTGAGAAGATCTAAAGGCATTTATTCTAGCTGATAAGGATTTGAATCAATGGGTGTTGAAAATCAACTGGATTGAACTGCTTTGAAATGTAGTTAGAGTTGAAAAAGGTATTCCGTGATGGCAAGACCATCACCTTTCCTAGTTTGGGAGTAATTCGTTGAAAACTGATGAAAGACTCATGTATGGAGTAAAGACATCTCCATGGAAATCATAGGATTTTTCTGCTTCATTATTTTCTAACTGTCTGTGTTATTTACTCTTTCTCTTCGCATGTTTTCATAGCAGTGTGTTGCTTACTTGTGAGAAGAAATGAATCCACCATTCTCCTGTAGTGAATACACTAATGAACAACTTTCTATTCTTCTTTTAAAATAATCAATTGGTTAGTGTCAAATTGCTTGTTACTTATTTATACTTACAGTTCACGCAAAAAGGACAAGCTGAGGTATAGATACCCTAGAGGCGAATCTTATCTTGATGTCATACAAAGGTTTGTTATTTAACCCTTTAAACTGAAAGATTTGTTACTGTCAATACATTAAATCTAGAATCCTTCATTTTTCTCATTTTGTTCTAATTAACATTCAACATGTTGCAGGTTGGAGCCGGTGATTATCGAGCTTGAAAGACAAAGAGCACCAGTGGTGGTGGTATCCCACCAGGTTGGTAAATTTTGCTGAAGCATTAAAATATTTCGCTTTTCCATGCCAATAAATTGTGTGCATGACTTCAAATTCTCTCTTTCTAAATTTTCTTGTAGGCCGTATTGAGGGCTTTGTATGCTTATTTTGCTGATAGGCCTTTGAGTGAAATTCCACACATAGAGGTAATAGCTTGATCTTGCGTGTGAAGAATTTGAATAGGATCATTATATTATATTCCACAATGAATGGAGATACATATCTATTGTGCTAATTTGGTAGTTATAGTGAACATATCTTCTAGACATGAAAATGATATTTGTCTTCTTTGGGCAAGCGGCGGAGTTACTTTTTCTTTCTTTCATTCCATCTGTCTTGCTTAAATTGGTTGGTTAATTAAGTTGCTGAAAGAAACGAAGTTCATTAAGGCTCCTCTAGGACACCCTGGTTTAAATAAGGGTAGATAAGGCAGTGTCATGATTCTAAAAAAAGAGGTTGAGCATACAACTTTCGTTATTGGTGTTGTCTTTTGGGTTGTTTGGTATGAAGAAAAATATTTCTAGGAAAATGTTTTCTAAAAAGCAAATCATTTCCTGGCAACAGAATACCAATGAAAAATATATTTCAACAGTATATCTCTGATAGTTCTTGGAATAGTTTTAAATTTTTTGGGAGTGTTGGATAGTGAGACAGTTTCTTCTGGAAAATGATTTCCGGAAAATGCATATTCTGGGAAATATTTCCGTTCATACCAAAAACACCCATTACTCATCATTTAATCAGGAAAATGCAAGAAGTTGGAAGTGTCTGCTGATCATATATAGGCTTAATGCATAACAGTCTCTTAAATTTGTGAGTAAATTTCATTTTAACACTGGAACTACAGCTTGTTCAATGAAATTTACAGAAAAGATGAAGGGACTATCGATATATTAAGCCCTAAATATGTATTCTAATGGCTGGAAGACGAGGCAAAGTTTTGTAGTGGCTATAGCCGTATAGGTGATGGTTTCTGCATTTATGCTTTGTGCAATTTTATGTGGTGAACTTTGAACAAGTCGAAAGATCCATTTATTGTACCCTTTTCCTTGTTAAACTTGCAGATGCCACTTCACACAATCATAGAGATACAAATGGGGGTTACAGGAGTACAGGAGAAGAGATACAAACTGATGTAGGTCATTGCAACTTGACTTTCTAATACGTATATGCAGCAATAATTTCAAAAAAAATAAAACAAATACGTATATGCAGCAATTCTCTCATTCAAATTGTAACAACCGATAACAAAAAAAATTGTATATCGACGAGTGTTTGACATTAAAGTGTATCAATTTGAAGGCTTCATCTTCATCTTCTTCTTATGTTGCACTCTCCGATCCCTTCTTCTCTCCTTTTTTTAGTCTCTTAATTTCTTTGTGATTTCGTGAAGAATTCTTACTATGGTCTTTTTGAAGATGATAAATTTAAATATCTACGTCCCCCTTCTCCAAATTCACATAGATATGTTAAGTGTCATAAGTAGCAAGATTAAATTTATTTTCAACTTTGGCTATAATCCTACTATTGAATCTTGAAGTTATGTTTCTTACTTCTTAATTAGCCAAAAGAAAAAACTGATCTATGTTTTATGTTCAATGCATTGACACTATAAAGAAATGGTAAACTATCAGGTTTAAGTTTACCTATAATAACACTACATATCAATTATAATATAATTATCTAGAGATGTAATATAGTGACAACTTGCTAAACTTAGTTAACTAGCACTTGCATCAAATCAATATGAGGATTTTACAAGATGGGATAGTACAACTCGTAAAAATACAAAAGAAATAAAATACACTCCATTTGATGGTCAATACTTCTTCATTCTTGATAAACCCGATCATGCAACGACTACTGAACTAGTAATAGATAAGTTAAGATGAAGAGAAGCTCGGCATAAAGGACAATTTGAGTGACCAATTAGCCATTTATCAATACATTGAGCATGATATACATGTTCACAATTGGGCAATAACTTAACCATTTCATCATCTCCAAATAATCCCAAACAAATTGGACACTCATCACTTCTTTGAACACTATCTAGCTTACATATTGTCTCACCAAATAAGAAAACAGGCAGCTTTTGAATAGTTTCTTCATCAAGTCCCTTGTTGATTTGTACCAAAACTACATTTGCATCTGGTGATGAGCTCAATATTTCACTAGAAAAGAAATTAAATTTACAAACAAAGTAGAAGAAAAAGAAGGCAACAAGTAATACTAAGAAGAAGAAAAAAATAATTGAAAGGCCATGGTTTTGGAAATGTGAGGTTATTAATTTGAGGTCACTGAAGTACCAGTTTGAAGTTTGAGTATCTTGTAAAGACATTACCAATTGATCAATAATGAGCAACTCAAATAATGGAAGTGATGGAAAAAAGTAGGGACAATTCTGCTGCCTAGCTAATTATTAATACTCTCTTCCTCTGTCTCAGTGTCTTAGTTTAACTGAACACGAATTTTTAAAAACAAAATGAAGAGTCTTGTATCTCGGGGTCTTAGATTAAACAAGTCTTTTAAATCTTGTTGTATTAAATTTGTCAAATAGAATGTTAGAATTGAAAAACTTACTGAATATAGAAAAAAATATTTCTTGGGACAAACCAAAAAGAAAAATGAAACATTTAAATTTGGATAGATGGAGAAAAAATATAACTACAAATAGTGAATTTCAAATGGACATTTTCATTAGAATGTCATTAGAAATATGAAATATAAGTAATGCTCAGCAGTAGGTAAAATTAATAATCTCAAAATTAAGACAGATAATCTTTTATATCTAAATTATTTTAAAATCACATAATAGTAATAAATCCAACAGCCAACTCCCTCTCTTTGTTTAGGAAATAAATAAATAAAAGAAGAGTAATTAAACTCACTGTCTTTGAGTTGGTTTACTGCATTGTCAACTGTTTCATTTATTTTTAGTAGCAGCAATAAGGCCCAATGCCCATGCACCATGCATTCAAATAATAAATAAGTATCACAATTTTTTATTTTTTTAAAAAAAGTGGTCAGGTTTGAAAATTGAGGAAGTAAATACTAAAATCATTGTTAATATGGACAAATATAACTTCATAAAATGGACAAAAGAACAGATTTGTTTGTTTTCTTACACAAACATAAAGATATAGAATAATATAAGCAAATTTTTGTAAAAATTGAACTTGCATTGTAAGACATGTTTGCCCAAACAAAGAAATAGTGGAAATTGTAATTATTAAATTGTACAAAATAAATTTTTACATCTCTAGATAATTATATTATAAAGTGCAACTTTCACACATAGCAAACAAAAAAATCATATTTGTATAATATAGCAAACTTTGCATAATTGCGCTCCATAGCAAACATAAAAACTGTATAATTCGCTATACATATAAAAGTGTATAATTCGCAGGCCTAAATTGTATAATTCGCTGGCCTAAATTGTTTAATTCGCTGGCCTATTTCGCTGCAATTGTATAATTAGCTCTGGATACAGTTGAATCGAATTAAAATGTATGTATATTGCATAATTATAAGTGTATAGCAAGAAGATATATGTTTTCTCGCTTTATACAAAAACAGAAACACAATATATACACTTCTGTTGTATAAAGCTAGAAAAAATTGTATTTCACTGCAATTGTATAATTCTTTGGCCTTTTACTCTGTAATATTTGAAGTAAAATGTTTGTAAATTATATAATTAAGTGTATAACACGAAGATATACATTTTTGCATGTGTATATACAATTTTCTCTCGCTTTATACAAAACAGAAACAGAAATTATACACTTCTGTGTATAAAGCGAGAGAGGCGAGAATGGGAGAGTGGCGAGCGAGACTTCTGGGAGAGAGACGCCTTGCAAATTTTTGCCAACGTTTGCTATGGAGCACAATTAAATTAAACCGTAGCTATTCCATTTAATTTAGGTTATTAGTTTGCTATTTTATACAATTTTCCCTATTATAAATAATATGAAAAGTATGGGCCAAACCTTATGGTCCTCTATTTTCAAAATATGGGTCGTTCAAAGTCCTGGACTCGGCCCAATATGTAACAAAGCCCATTAGTGGTACTTAATAATGAAACGTGGTAAGTAGAAATTCCCACATCGAAATCCAGACAAAGAAGAGAGAGGCTACAAGGAATATATAATGCGCTCCTTCGTTTCATCATAACTCACGCAGCCACGCAATGAACACATAGCGAACTATTCTTTCGCCTTTTACTAAAGAATACCGTGTGTGCGTTGCAAATAGTGGCATACGCCAATTTTTGGAGGGCTTCTCTTTACGGAGAATCCCAACAATTCTAGTTATAATATTGCTTCAGTGAATTTTTGGCAGATGTAACCTTATGTGGTTTCTGAAATTGATGAATCTTTGAGTTAAATATGGGAAGTTAGGGTGAGTACTGAGGCGATGTGTTATTAGGGAGGGCTCAATGCACATATCCTCTTCTATCTCATTTTATATGGTATTTTATGTATACATTTTAGTAATGGCAAATATTGTGGTTATAGGAATGGTATAAAATGGAGGACGTAGGGAGTAGTATTACTAGCAGACTAGGTTGTTTATATTGGTTCATGTTATGATCAGTTCAATTGGGAATAGAACCCAATCCTGCTAATGAAGGCATTAACTTTGGACTAGAATACTGAGATAAGACGGACAGTGAGGTCTCCTTTTACAATGCTATTCATCTCTCTACTAAACTAATGCTATTCATCTCTCTTGTGAGAGTCAATGTGTACTATAAACCATTTGTATGGGAAACCCATGTTTTCATACAGTTATCTAACCATACTATGAGAGACACCTGCTTTGTATGACGAACCAGTACAGCTACTTCCACCAGCACCTCTATTGGCACGAAAGGACGCAACGACAGTGGGTAGTCTTGAGTTTTCTTCTCAATTCAATCCTTCAACTGAAGATGAATCAGTCTCCACCACTGCATCCATCCAAGGCCATATCACAAGTCTTCTAAGGAGCCATTTGAGTATTCATGGCCTGAAACACCCGAACTTCCATTTGGTAATCGACTCGTGCTGGTGGGAGTTGAATAAGGGGAGTAGGTTGAAGCAGAACTGCCTCGCGTATATCGGTTCTGAGCAGTGCTACTTCTTGTTGCCTTAAGACGGGCCTTCCTCCCCTGAGGCCAAGTGCATACAAGTATTAATAGAAAATAATTTGGATAAACTGACGAGGGTAATTTGAGACTGGGTACTGCAATAGAAAAGAATATACCTTTCCCATGCATTTCTCCAAGTGAGGAGCAAATCGCCCAGCCATGATAGATCGGCCACAATTCATACATTCAAATATTTCAGTTGCAACAGGAGGATGGGTTCGGCCAAATATATCTACGACGTATTTGCCATTTGTTTCACTACTGTTGCTAGGATCAGCTACTGTTGCCCGGGCTTGTGCAGACAACCGAAGTTCTTCCTCCTCTTCTTCTAAATTACGATCAAGGCCTAGTTTTGCTACGCGGTGACACTCAGATGCAACATCAGTAATGATGGAATCAAGAAGCTCATCAAAAACATGAGCTGACAACTGCACATGGATCACAAAGCAGACTAATAGTCAAATATCAACAAGAATCCAAAGCAGACTAAATAGTCAAATATCAACAAGAGAAGTCTGAAGTAGAATACAGTAAATTGACCCATATACAAGATATTCTAACTGTAAACAACATAGGGGAATTGAGGTTAAATAAGGAGTGCCACACCCCGCCTCCAAACCCCGAGGCCCACCTTTGATCATCAATGGGAATAAGAGCAGGAACAGTCTATATCCAGAAATTTAAGAGTAAAGTAAACATAAAAACAAAAACCATATGTGATCAATAGAAAAGCTGGAAAAGACGAGAACAAGCATGCTTGCCCACACGAAGAAGAAACAATAGAGTCAAATAATAGCAAGATTCTACTAATTGCCTTCAGAAGCAACTGACGCATACAATTCACTATAGCAATTAAGCAAGATAACCAGCAAATATAAGTTTCTGGTTTCATCTAAGATGTGGATTACTTGTGGTTGAAAGATGTTATCCTCATTTGATGCCGACATGAGTCTCTCCTCAGAAATCAATGAACAATAAAATCCACACCACAAGCTTCGGCACAAGAAAAAAACCTGCAACCTAGATAGACAACAACAGAAAATGATCAAGAAGAGAACAGGAGAAAAATATTAAATAAAATACAAACAACAACTATGTCACAGGCCCAAACAAGTTGGATTCATGATTTTTCTCTAGTTAATGTGTAAAGAAAAGTAAGTTCACAAATTCAGCTGGCTATATCATCTTTTTGATTTTATAGATACATTACTATACACTACACTGCAAAACAACAACATATCCGGTGTAATCCCACAAGTGAGATTTAGGAGGGTAGAGTGTACGCTGACCTTATACCTTGAGAGCTAGAGAGGTTAAATCTGATGGACTGTCCGCTTAAGGAAACACATAACGGAAATGAAGAGAATATCATGGCAGAATACTATAGAAAACATGACAAAGTAATGCGATAACCAAAGTACAAGAGATAGTAACAGAATTTGTAGGACAAGAAACTACAAGAGAAACACTACGAGTTTACTACTACCGGAATGAAAGAATAAGCACGACACCGCTTTATCACCTAACCTAAGTCATGTCCTCCATAACCTCCTATCTAACATCATATCTTCGGATTATGTCATATATACATACTTTATGAGAAATGAAAATACAATCTTAACAAACAAATGAATTCGTGATTTTCTCAAGTTACATGCTCTCATCATTATCATAAAGTCTGACTAGTGAACAGCAGCACTAGCACATTACCAACAACTAAATTTGCAACAGAGTTGAAGATTCCAAACCAAGTATCAATGAAAGAAAACATAGACATCAGTTCAACGAAGCTACAACAAATGATTCAGTTCATACAAACTTAATCCATCGGCTGCATTTCATTTCTATTAATTTAGAAGTTTAAAGTCGATCTCAACCATGATCAAGCATCAATCAATAATCAATCAACTAAAACCTTAATTCCAAACTAATTTAATCAAACTGTTCCACATCCGATCTGCAATTTTCCGATTAAATGCCGCAAATCCAGAATATATATGCAATAAACTTACACCAAAACATAAAGAAAAAACTTACAGATCAAGAAGGAAGATTGTTCGTAAAGAGCTTCAACAGAAAGGAGTTGGGAATTTCGTACCTGAATTGGGAACAGGGGCAGAAGGGACGATGGGCTTCAGTTTTCGGGTCGAGTCGGGAATTTGGACCCTACGGTCAGCTACTTTGTAAACTTCCTCGTGTGGTAATTTGATACGTGTGGCAATTTGATTAGAGTAGGTTGCATTGAAATTAGAGATATTTAAATGAGTTACGATAAAAATTTAGTGAATTACTTCAAATTATTTTGAAGTATCATATCATATCGAAAATTTTAATACCATGATTTTGATATTATGGTATACGGTATGTATTTTGATTTTTTTTTATATTCAATATGGTATTTGATATTTAGTATTTAGAAATAACATATTGAAGCATAAAGTTTATATATATATATATATATAAAATATTGAAACATTAACAAATATGCAACCTAATATTAGTGAAACTCAATATTTAGAAGTTAAAACTTTGACTATTCTATTTTTGATTGAAATGTAAGCGAGTAACAAAAGAAGTTGATTTTACTTTATTTTGAATATGTACTCCTACATTTGCTATGTGTTAGTATGATACAATTGAGACATTTTTCAATTGTCGAAGTCATAATACTATATTATAAGAGTATATATTAATTAAAATTGAACAAACTGTGATTACCGATTTACCATAGAATATTCAAACCGAACTTCAAAGTATCGAATCATACCAAATTAAATTAGTATGACAATGATATAATATTTTAAAAACTGAAAACCAAAATTACGATATCGATCGAACCTTCCAAATACTGCACCACACCATGCTTACCCCTATCTATACATGTATTTTTGTTAACATATGCACTGAAATAGGGAGAGAGGCAAGAGAGACGGGGAGAGAGGCAAACGGGATTTGTTATGTACCTCAAATACATGCGAATCACACTTGGATATTGTGTATCTAGAAAAAATTACATCTAACTTTGCCCAATGTATCCTGAGATACATGTATCTGGACATATTTAAATGTATTTTAACACACCAAAATCTAATAAGATTTATAATATTACAGATTAAAATATATTTCATTAGCTCTTAAACTAATAAATAATTTTTTCTTTTTTTATTCGGCTGACGAACCGAACTCCAAATTTTAGTTGAATCTTGTCAAATAACATGTTGAATAAGACCAATCCAATAGGCCTAATATGCCCTTGTACTTTTCGAAAAGGTTTAAATATGCCCCCCGTTTAAAGTTTGGTTCATTTATACCCTCGCCGTTCAATTATTGGTACAAATATGCCCTTATGGGCGTTAATTGGCCACCTCAAAATATCCGACGCATTTTACATTTCTTTAATTGCCCAAATGAATTTTCCACATCATTTTAATATTACATCGTGGCATTTATATTACAAAAAAAAGGTCAAATATGCCCCTAAAAATCCGACCCATTAAATTCTTTTATTACCCATATTTTATGGTTCAATTATACCCCTCTTTTAAATAACTTATCCTACCCGTATCCGACCCAAAATCCATATCCCTTTTCCCCCAAAACAAATCCCTAATTTCCTAAACTTTCTTTTCTCCCAAGAACACAAATCGCGGATCATCAACCCATTTCTAATAAGCACATTTATAACCCTGTACAATTATGAACTTAAAATCAATACTCACCAAAAAAAATCGTGGATCATCAACCCATTTCCAATAAGCACATTTATAACCCTGTACAATTATGAACTTAAAATCAATACTCACCAAAAATATGAAAATTAACGAAATTGTATGATAAAGGAAGTTTAAGAAATTAGGGATTTGTTTTGGGGGGAAAGGGAAATGGGTTTTGGGATTGCCGTTTTTTATTATATGCGCATGAATTGGAGCAGCGTGTTGAATGCTTTTGCATTTCTGTAACTTGAAAAGAAGCTGTTTTCGATCTCGGAAACTGCCGGGATTTGAGTTCAAATGCGGAGAAATAGGTGGCAACGCCGCGGCGACGGTGGCGACTATCATGAAGGAACTAATTATCCAAAACGAGACTGGTGTTTGACGGGAAACAACTTCTGTCAACTCTTTGCTGCAAAAAATCAACCAACATGTTCAGTTAAAGTTCACAATAAAAATGATATTTGAATTTTGTAAAATTTGATTCTGAAATTAAAAAAATAAAAAAGAAAAACAAAATAGGTTTGTGAAATTATTTCTGTACATTAATTATTTACTTCTAATATGATACTACAGTACTATTTTTCTCATCTTAAATCTTGCATTGTAATAAAAATGATTTTATTTTATATTTACTGCCAAAAAATTAATATTTTCTTGGGTCAACCTATAAGACATGAGGGAAAAGGAAGTTTAGGAAATTAGGGATTTGTTTTTGGGGAAAAGGGATATGGATTTTGGGTCGGATACGGGTAGGATAAGTTATTTAAAAGAGGGGTATAATTGAACCATAAAATATGGGTAATAAAAGAATTTTAATTGGTCGGATTTTTAGGGGCATATTTGACCTTTTTTTTGTAATATAAATGCCACGATGTAATATTAAAATGACGTGGAAAATCCATTTGGACAATTAAAGAAATGTAAAATGTGTTGGATATTTTGAAGTGGCCAATTAACGGCCATAAGGGCATATTTGTACCAATAATTGGACGGCGAGGATATAAATGGACCAAACTTTAAACGGGGGGCATATTTAAACCTTTTCGAAAAGTACAGGGGCATATTTGACCCTTTTCCCATATATATTGATGAGTTTAATCTTTAACACAATAATTTAATTGAATTTCTCAATAAGTACACCTCTCTAATAATTTTTTAAAAAAAATCTTCAAACCTTCCAAAATTTTACCTAAATATACAATTTACCATGTTTTATTTTTGTAAATTTATTTAAAAACTTATATCCTAAGATATCAAGAGTGATTTTTTTCACTTAACCGACCGGTCAACACGTAAATTAGATTTTATATGATTCAAATATTTAAATAAAAGGTAAGCTAATTAATAGTTGTAGGAGAATAAAAAATAAAATAATATATATATATATATATATATATATATATATATATATACACACTTTTTTATTTAAATATTTGAATCATATAAAATCTAATTTACGCGTTGACCAGTCGTCCAAGTGAAAAAAATCATTTTTCAGTCTCTATAAAAAGACATTTAGTAACAATTGTCTAACCTTATAAAAAATTTAAAGAAATATTCTTTGAGAGGTATACATGTATTAGTTTATATATTTTATAATTCATTTTCTTTTATTTTCTTGCTAATTATTTTTCTTTTTTATGCATTGTTCCTTTAAGTAATTTAACAAAATTTATTGTAGGAAACATGGATGAGAAACGAAAAAGATCTTATGAGTCTGATTTGGATTTGTGCTCGAAAACTCCAACTCAAAATGAACCAATTAATAATGTTCAAACATTGGAAGAAGCAATGAATTCTGAACTCAAGCATGGTCAAGTAGATCCTAACGTAGATTGGAAGAAAATGAAAAGGTTATATACATAAATAATTTATTTTTATTCCATGCTACTTTTAAAAAAGTGAATTTTTTTTTATCAAAAATTTTCTAATGAAAAATTTGTTGAAATGATATGCGAATTATCACCTGTTTCGATTAGGTTTTCTTTTTCTATTTATATGGGAAATAACTAGATTTACTTTATTTTTATAATGTTGCGATATATATATATATATATATATAGGTTATATACATATATGATTTTTTCATTCCATGCTACTTTTAAAAATGTGAAATTTTTTTCATCAATATTTGAAAATTTTTAATTAATTCTTTTTAATGATTGATTATGCGAATTATCCTTGTTTCGATGAGATTTTCTTTTTCTAGTTATATGGGAATTAATTAGATTTTACTTTAATTTTATAATGTTGCGAGATATATATATATATATATATATATATATATATATATATTCATTCCGTGCTAATTTTAAAAATGCGAATTTTTTTTATCAACATTTGAAATTTATTAATGAATATTTTTAAAATGATTGATTATGCGAATTATCCCCTATTTCAATTAGATTTTCTTTTTCTAGTTATATAGGAAATAATTAGATTTTACTTTATTTTTATAATGCGAGATATATAATATATAATTCTTTTTTATAGATACTAAAAAATATAAATTTCTAGATGTTTGAAATTTTAATGAGGAGTCAATAGAAAATATTTTTAACAAACCAATAGTCAATGGATATGATCCGATTAGAGAATTTTATCAGAAAATTGTGTTTTCTAGTTGTACATAAATAATATTTTTATTTTGCTTTTATAAGATTTTATGTGTTGAACCTAGTACGTAATTTAATTTAATTTTCTGAAATTGTGTTTATAGAATCATGTCAAATCGACTATCAGCACAAAGATCCAGGAACAAAAAGATGGAATACACAGCTGAATTGGAAAAGAAAGTCAAAGAATTAGAGGTAATAAAAATCTACATCAATATTTTAAATTCTAATGGTGTTTCAATTCATTATTTAATTTCATTTTATTTTGTCCTTGGTTGGTTTGAAAATAGTACACGTGCGTACTATATTAGAAAATTTTATTTTAACATTTGTGATGGAATAAAAAGATTATTTTCGTTACACTAGATTAAGCATACCTAATTATATATACGCAAAATTTCTTTTTTACATTTCACACATATATATACAAATAAATTGATGAAGCAATGTTGAATGAATTATTCAAAGTGCATAAGAATTTTTTGAATCTTCCGATATCAATAGGTTGATTGTTCTATTATATATATAATTATTAACACTAATATTATTTCTTTATATACGTGTTTGATGCAGAATACAATAGCTTGGGCTGGATCAGAAATAGAAAATGCTAAATATAATAAAAAGAAGTTGATGCTGGAGAACGAAATGTTGCAACAACAATTGGATATTGTCATTCACAAATCTAATTCAAGCATTGGTATATTATATATCTCCTCTCTTATATATTTTTAATATTATTATTTCAAATTTCTACTTGCGGAGGAATTACAATATATAAATGCTAATTAAATAATAATAATATAATTTATCATATGATAATATATGTCACGCCCCAAACTAGATGATGCGCCTATACCTTACTCTATTGAGGTCACAACAAAATTGATATCATAAATTAATGAGTAGGTCTTGTTGTCTCTTATTTTGTGTCATTGATTTTGTTATGACATTGTCGATTCAGTTATTTTATTTCAACAAGTTATTATGATGCACTTGTTGTTCCTTATTATTCCTTTTCCACTATGTCTTAGTGGCTAGCTCAATCGAATAAGGTAGCTAATGTTTGGTCGCACCACCTTTAGTGTGGGGCGTGACAGATAATTAAGAAAATTTATAACTAGCTAGAACGTACTTAATTAAAATCTTGATCGTATTAATTGCAGCACAAACTGAAGAGTTGAAACTTGAGTTGGAGACGCTTAAGGAACTTGCAAAGAGTCAAAGTTCCAACTTTTGTGAGTCAGAAATAGACATGGATCAGTATCTCAACTTTGATACCATGAACTTTTATCCACACCAGGATTGATGACTTGTGAACCAACCAAAAAATGTTGTTGCTATTTTTGTTGGATTATTCCTTTTCTATGTAGGGGTGGGATTTGGGGGGGGGGGGGTAAGTTTTAAATTTTCTTTATGCAATTTAAGGAGTAAATTTTTATGATATGAATATCTAGGACAATGTTAAATACTTGGTGATCTTATGGATATTTTAATTTATAATATTTGAAATGAATTTTTAAGTAATGTTTGTTGTTGGTTCTTATTCTTTCATATATATATAGAGAGAGAGAGAGAGAGTTTATAAAATTGCATGTTAAACATACTTTTTTTTGTTGATAATTATTAGTTAGTAGTAAAAATAAAAAACTTAAAACATGAAAAATAAGACAATTTTTTCATAACATATTTTATTAATGGGAGAAATCAAACCTCTTTTTTACATTTATTTTTCTATTTCAATACTAATATGCTATTACATTCTTTTAGATTTTAACAAATGATTTACAACTCGACGATCCATGTTTGGGATACCTAGGATATGCTACGTGGTTCATGTCCGCACGAAGCAAAAGTTGCACGGAATGTGGTGGGCGATCTATTATTACCATGTCTTCTTGTTGTATCCTTCTCAACTTCGCCAGGTGATCTGCGCAATTATTTCCCTGTCTCAAAGTGCGAATTAGTACAATACCAAGTTCGGATATAAGACTCTTGCATTCTTCTATAACAACGTTTTTTTCTGGATGAACTTTTGAGACGTTACCCATTCGACAAATCCACTTCAAGGCTTCGCTCGAATCTGTCTCGATAATAACCTTCTTCAAATTGTATTTCTTTGCCAAAATCAGACCTCCGTGTATTGCCCATAACTCAGCTGTAAGACTTGACGTAACTCTCATGCCAAGTCGTCCATAGAATCCACCCAACCATCTTCCCAGATCATCACGTGCGACACCTCCAAACCCTGCCAACCCCGAATCAGGCATGAAACTGCCATCAGTATTGATCTTGATACATCCCTCAGGCGGAAAAGCCCAACTGATGAAAATAGGTTATGTATATTCAACTCTTGGAATTGAAAAAAAATGTGAATTTCGACAGTAAACCGGATGAACGTATGTTGACATTGTTTCTTTGTAGTATCTAAAATTGCACTTAACACTAAGAACAAAACTATATAAAAGAAAAAGGGAGAAAAGTGAGAACTAATGCTAAAACTAAAGGCGCATATATATAGAGTGTAACTTGTAATATGATTCAATTAATTAGTCTTTTCGAAAAAGGAAACTAATAGTGTTGTTTATTAATCCTACTTCATGCCTAATTCATTTTAATTACTCATTTATGGAAAGTTAGAAAAATGAAATTATACGAAGATTTCTAGGTTTATATATTTAGAAACTAGCAAGGTAAGGCCCAACATGTCCAACATAAGTTTGTCTCTTTTTATATATACATGTGTACAAACTAGGGGTGTCAAATGAGCATTTGGGTTAAAATTGAGAATATTAAAATGGGCTGACATAAAAGTTGGGTTGGATCTTGATCTGATCAAGTTTATTTTGGACTCAAATGGACAAAAAATGGGTTGAATCTTCACCTGCCCAATTTGATCCGATTAATCTCAATAATTTAACATATTTATATTTTAACTTTTATAATCACAATTTGAATTTCAGCTTCAGAATTTTTTTTAAAAAAAAAATAACAAAAGGATTGATGTTAAACAGATAATAATTCCTACCTTAAATATAAGAACATATCTTAATAAAAAGTTTTAAAACGGATTGAAATTGGAGATTGAATTGATCTCACGTGAGAATTTTCTTCAAATGGGTTATGCTTGAATGGGTTGAGATTGAACCCAATTCATCTTGAACCCAACTCTTAAAATTCTGAACGGATTGAACGAGTTATTTATATTTGAGTTCATTTTTGACACCCCTAATACAAACTATAGGAATGCATTCACATAACATCGTTTTGGTTATAATTACACAAACATGAGTTTAGAAAAAATTAAGTACACCATTATACGACTGAATAGTCGATGGAGGTCAATATCGTAAAAAAAAAAATTATAAAGTGAAGAATCGAATCTTTCACTAAAAGTTCAGATAAATTAAACAACCAACTAGCACTTCACGTAATTAAAAATAATTACTCCATTAAGGCGGCAGAAGAAATGGGCTAGCTCACATTACATTTATGATTTATTGTATACTATTTTGGTTAATAGCTCTACCTCATAGTTACTTCCGATTTATTTTACTTGTCCACTGTATTATAATATTTTTAAAAAAGTTTATAGTCTGAAATATATCATAAACATTTTTGTGGATACAAAATCATATATTAACGATAATATAAAAAGTTTAGAACTAAATTATTAAAAAATGTCATTGATTTTTAAACAAATGAAAAATGTGTGTACACAAAATGAAACGGAGGAGCAACTCTTCTTTTTTGTACAAAAGAGAATTTGGCTCATCGATTCTCAATAGGCGATTTGAGGCTCAAATATGTCATCGAATTTTCAGAAAAGACTCATTTATGTCATCTGTTAAAAGTTTGATTTATCTGTGTCATTATTGTTAAAGAAAAGGCTCATCCATACCTTTTTTTTAAACTCTGCTTTTGCAAAACCACTTTTTAACCCCCCCCCCCCCCCCCAAAAAAAAAAAAAGGTTTAACATTTTTCAGTTGAAGTTTATGGATTAAATATACTCTTTTCGTCAATTCTTTTTATATAAATTCTAATAGTTCGCACCTCCTGAGTTAGTTAAGGGACCTTGACCAAGCATATTTTTTGGACACGAGTCCTCAACATTGAAGCAAGTGCATGAAAAATGTAGTACTACTACTAAAGACAAAGCAAAGTTTGTTTCTTTTCGAAAAGAACTGAAAAAGGAAAAGATAGCACATGCTACTTGCTTTCTTGTTGAAAGGCAAATGGACATAAAGCCCCCTTAATCCAACAATCTATATCAAACTGTTCTTGTTGGTTTGTTACAACCCATTAAAGTACACTTCAACAACAACGGGTCTGGGAGGGTAAAGTGTACGTAAACGCTTTATTGTATACAATTCAATTCATACTACAACATTTTCAATGTCACAATATTAATACCAACCTAGCTATAGCACAATGCTACAATTTAGCTGCTACAACATCAAGGAACATTTAGGAGGGCCATGAATGTGTTTCCAGTTAATAAAGACAATTAATAGTGATTCAATGAAGAGTACAATGTTCAGTACATAATTTATGTAGACTGCTTCTTCTTGAACCTCAAAACTGTCACATGCCTCGTGGTGTACATAATACTAACCAACACCCCGTGTTTATATCAAACCAACAAATGCAAAACCTATATGTCGTCTATAAATGCATCGTCACTTTAGTTTTCAAGTGACAAGTCAATTTGTCTGGTTTAATACCTGAGTACGGGTAAGTTTTTACTATACCTCAATATCCAAACAATGAGAAAAGAAAACAATGAACCCTAAGGAACGACAGTAATCTACCATTTACCAAGATAGCTGGTGGCAGTCATTCAAACATCAAAGAAGAATGAATTAGTCCAACTAGACTTGCACTTGGATCCTTAAAGCAAGGGATCAATTTCAAAGACTCACTCTTCTCAAACACCAGCTTTCGCTGTCCGCCAGCTATTTAAACTATTGTAAAAATACAAATGAAAAAGCTGGCCATGATAGCAGTTAGTATCATTTTACGCTTTTACAAGCGAAGGCAAAAATAATTAGGTAGGATGTTTTAGGTCAATTGTGATCAATGCCAGAGCTTACTCTTCCATTATAAGATTTTCATTTGTGATAGTGAAAGACATCCAGCTATATTCTTCCAAAGGATGCATTCACCATGAACAATATGTTTGTCCTTTAAGCATACACCTACAAATATAGTTTTACTGCAACAAGGGAGAGCCGACAACTCTCAAACTAGAAAGCTTTCTGTGGCTCGAGAACTCTCAACATCTAAATAAATATGTATAGTTGGGAAGGGAGAGCATAAAAACTTAATATTTAACCAATGAAGGTAAGTCGAGGCTTGTTACAAACACCATTCAATATAAATGGTACCTGAATATATTGACTAATGCAAATAGATAGCGTAAAAGGAAAATGGTGGATCTGACAACTGATTTGAAGGATTGGCAAATCAAAAGTCTGGGATTGACCTATGTTTTCTTGAAAACAAGTATAGATGGAGTTAAATACACATTATAGAACCCATACTTGTAACATACAATGTCTAAATTTGAATTCGCTAATGTAGAAGAGGTATTGGACTACCAAAGGAGGCTAGCCTGCCCAAACAACACAATTTTGCTAAGACAATCAATAAATAGGCCACAGCCACAAGCAAAGTCGAACACGTCTAGATGAAACAATGAACAACATTTGAGTGTCATTAAAAAGGATTGTTATAAGAACTTCAGTTAGGGACCCTTCGATACGTCATCAACCTTAAGTATATGACTAAACCACCAAGCACAAACAATTGTTACAGACGTAGCATATGTAAAAATCAGTACAACAAAAAATGAAAAAGATGAATCAAATCTACGAAATTTACCGAAGGACAACAACACAATTTATGCATAATTAGCATGTATTATACCACATAGTTGTAGTCACTTATCAATTAGTACTTTACAGAACTATGTCAAAACTAAAGAGAGCATTTTGCAAAAACCGAACTGCCTTCTTTACTTTACTTTTATAAGCACAGCAATCCTTCTACTACTGAAATTTTCACCTGAATTTTCAGCTAATACTTTCTGACTAATCTAACGAAAACAATGTTAACGATTGCATTCAGAGTATCGGGATGTAACAGGAAGGGCACCTGATCAAACCATTCTCATTACAAACCGTGCAAGTCCTGAATCCACTTTTCTCGCTATAACACTTTTGGCTACCACTGCACTCTTCACAGAGAACAAATCTATTTCCTCCACACACTTGGCACGTGCTGAATTCTGCCGGAGTCAACCCTTC